AAAACCAGACCTTAGCGGAGGAGGCCGTGCTGTGCTTTGGGCGCGTTTGAGCTGCGTTTGGGTGGTGGGCAGTTCTAAGGGAGAGCTCTGCTAGTGCCTGTGGTGGGGGATCCTGGTGTGCAACGGGGCAGAAGGGTTGGAGGTGCTGCTAGCAGGATGCTGAGCAGAGGTGGATGGGATTGGGGCTAAGGCATAGGTAGTTGACGGGGTGATGGGGAGGGGGCACCTGTTTCCTTTAACATGGCGAATAGTTACCAAATCGCTGCTAATACATTTGACCCCATGGTAGGGGGGTTGGTACTAGGTGATCTTTGAGGTACCTTCCAACCCAAACCATTCTATGATTCTATGATGTTCAGAAAGCTCTTTCCAGCCACCAAATTTCAAGGAGAGTCTGCAACAATCTCCCAGGAAAGGCAGAGGTTCCAAAAGCTACAAATAAAACTTGATCAGGGTCTGAAAAGGTCTGAAAAAGTTTCCTGTGCCCTGAGCAGCAGTCCTTAGCTAGTCTTCCTTTTCTGTAACAAGTGACGCATCACCTGCTGTATTTCCTTTTTCTTAATTAAATGGTAATTTAAAGTCCTTTTCTTCTTCCAGATGCATCCAGTCCTAAAGGCCTTCGTGTGTGGCTCCATCAGTGGCACTTGCTCCACACTCCTCTTCCAACCCCTTGACCTGCTGAAAACCCGCCTGCAAACTCTGCAGCCTGCTGTGAATGGGTGAGAGGGTGGGGATGTGAGGATGTGTATGCATGGGGGGTGTGGGGGTGCTCCACCACAGGCTTCTGCTTGATTTGCTGGCTGGGAGTTGGAGTTCAGGGTTGTAGTTAAGATACTGAGAGTCTTTCTGAAATAGGACATGTGTTTTTGTAGCACAGAGGATTTATATTTTTCTCCAGAAGAGAGAAAATGGCTGCTCTTGTGAACACTACTTTAATAACATGTAACCAGAGCATTTGTCTGTACACGTCTGAGAGTCTGTTGTTAGCTGGAGTAGCCACCATGCATTTTCACATGGTATCCTCTGCCTGACAAATAGTGTGTGGTTGAACATAACCTGTCCACATGTGTGCAGCTGCTCCAGTTTCCCAGGAGTGGTCAATTATGACTGTATTTGCTGCTTCTAACAAAGGGAGTGAGCAACTAAAGACGCTAATGAGAGAGGCCTCTAACGTGTGTTACAAGTGGTGGGAAAGCAGAATGTGACAGAGAAGCCCTGGAATGAGTGACTGAGGAAAGCAGGCTGAGATTAGAAGGAGCACGTCTGAGGTGCTGGGGTAATGCACAGAGATATGAATGAAGGGAGTGGCCGCAGACTATGTCTGCTAGAGAGCATAAGCAGGTCATCTCTGCAGTTCCTGTCTTGTTTTCCTTTCAGGCCCAGTCGTGCTGGGATGGTAACACTGCTCTTTAGGGTTGTTCGTACTGAGAGTCTTCTGGGGCTCTGGAAAGGTGTTTCTCCAGTAAGTGGCTGTTTTAACCCTGACTTCTGAAAATAACTACATGAATAAACCTACTATTTATTATTAACTATGGACTGGATTTAAATAGCCAGCTCTTGTACAATTATGAATGAAACCATGTGATTTAGTTGTTTAAATCTTATTTTAAGGTGTTAGTGTTGTGAATTCCCCTCATTAGGTCATAGCAGTCACTGTGGATTTGCAATCCTGAGCAGCCGAACACTTGAGTGCCATTGCAAATGTGAGGTGACAACTCCATCAACCTCATTTTGTTTTGGAGTATCTTGTTCCTAGAAAACTGTAGTTGAGGAATGCGTTAAATCTTGGCGTAGTTTTAATCAATCGACTCTCAATGCTGTAAAAGATTTTTACCTTGTCGTCTTTCCTCAGCATGTTAGCTGAGGAAAAATCACTGAAGTGATTTTTTTGTTTTGTTTTGGTGCAAAGCTTCCTCTGAAGTTTAACAGTCTCTGAAATGTTCTGCAGTATATTTTGTCTTAAGCATGCTTTTTCTTTCTTCATCTGCTTCTTTCTTCTGAAGTCCTTTGCAAGATGTATTCCAGGGGTTGGGATTTACTTCAGCACTTTGTACATGATGAAGCAAAAGTTTCTAGTGGACCGTTCACCCACAGCCCTGGAGTCTGTCTTTCTGGGTGCCACTGCACGTGCAGTATCAGGGATTTGCATGTTGCCAGTGACTGTAGTGAAGACCCGATATGAGGTGAGTGTGACTTTATAGTTAGTTCCCTGTTAATGATGCTGCACCCCTTCCTCATGATTAAAAAGAAATTCTTCCATCTGGAGAAGGTTGCTGCCTTGAGTACTGTCAGAGATGTAGTCCTGACTTCATCCTGATTCACACATTGTGCAGGAAATGCCATGCATTGATTTTTAGGCAAGAAGCATAAGATGAAACAGAACTTACCATGAGATTTTTAAGTTTCAGTTGTATACGTGTAATTTTAGCATCTTTCTTATTTTACCTTCTTGAAGGATTGTTTTAAAGGCTGAGGTAGGTGGAACCCAGTTTTTGCCTTGGACTGTCCTCTGTGCTGTCATCTCAGGTGTCACATGGAGCACATACTAACCCTTCTTTGGACAGGGTGTCCTTGGGGTGTGTGTAGGGCTCCTTGGCCTGTGCCTGGCACATGGATGACTGACCGTTGTCCACACTTGCAGAGTGGAAGATTTGACTATGGGAGTGTGTACGGAGCTCTGAAGAATATCTATCAGACAGAAGGAGCTCGCGGCATGTTCAGTGGGCTCACTGCAACGCTGCTGCGGGATGCACCCTTCTCTGGGATCTACCTGATGTTCTACACACAGACCAAAAACTTCACAGCTCAGGGTAAGGCTGAACGTTAGAGGCTGTAATGGGAGTTGTCTTTTTTCTCGCATCTTGTCCTGCAGTTGACTGCCTGTGTGCTCTGCTTATTGCACTCTACCTCAGTAGTTAAATAAGTCTACTGTAGGGATTTAGGTGGAACATTCACCTTTTTCTATGGAGAACGGTAGACCTGTAGCTCAGTTCAGTGTACAAATGGAAATTAGCCCTAAATTGATTGATTGTCTTTATGAAGGCTGATGCATAAGGTCAGTCAGTGAGCAGTTGAAAGAGAGGGTGTGTTCAGCTGTCCTTTCTGCTGCTGATTGTTTTGTATGCTGATCAGTTTCCACTAACCTGAGAGGTTTCTCTTGTGCTAGAACTGGCTGGGGCAACACTTGCACAATCTTTCCTTCTCTGTGTTCCTGTCAAAATCAGTTCCCCAGCAAGTGAGACTTCTTAACAGTGCTAACTTTTGACTTGTTAGCCACTTTTCCCCTTGAAGGGTTTCTCTACTCTGCATGGATTTTAACTTCTCTTAGACTCTGACATTGATGTAATCATTCAGTAGCTTTTCACTTTGTCACGCAACATGAGTATTCCTGGCCTGTTTTGTGTCTTGAGTTCATTCTCTTTGCTCTGTTGCAGACCAGCTGGATCCAGTGCTCATGCCCTTGCTGAATTTTGGCTGTGGGATCTTTGCAGGAATCTTGGCCTCACTGGCGACACAGCCTGCTGATGTCATCAAAACACACATGCAGCTGTCCCCCCAAAAGTACCACAGGACGATCCAGGCCATTGCCTTCATCTACAAGGTGAGGTGAATCCCTTCTAATATGTGCAATCACAGTCTCACTTCTGGTCTCCTCGCCCAGAGCACAGCTATGGTAAGAAAGTTGTTGGTTTTTTTTAAAGGAGGCGAACAGTTGTGACTGCTTGATGTGCTTTTGCAGTCAGGCTACTCAGTGTCGACATTTTCAGAAGCTGAGATGAGTCATGCTGTGGGAGACTGAGGCTGAATCTCTTGTCACTGATTTGTGTGTGGACTTGTTCGGTAATAACTGGAAAGTACTCTGGTTGATAGTCCGAAAGCAGTCAGAGGCTTCAGTCTATTCCGTGCTTTTCCTTATAATTAGAGAGGCTATTGTCACTACTCAGATGTGTTTCTTGCTCCTCTTGAATGGATTACAAGGCAGTGAACTATCTCCGTGGTTATTCTCGCTTTTCCTCAGTCCTGTATCTGTTTTCACAAAGTTACACATGATGGAATTGGAGAGGAAGTTCAGAGTAGTGGAGCACAAAGGTGGGCATATTCCAGTAAGTGTTTCTCTACACAGGCCTGCTTCACATTTCAGGATGGTGAATGATTTCACTTTGGTTCTGTCTGTTACGTATTGATTCTTACACTGGTAGTGATGGAAAGCACTCGGAGGAGCCGTACTTACAGCTCCTGCTGTCTGTGGTTTATCGGTGTAGGCACATCTGTGATTATCATACTGGGGCAAAGGGTTTCTTTATTATGTAGCGTGAAATGCCAGTGTGAGATATAAGCCAGCTGCAAAACAATTCTTTGCCCTGTGGACACTGGAAGAGAAATAAATGCCCAGATCTGTATCCCAGGAATGGGATGGACATGTACTCAAAGCCCACCTTTCCCTTTCTGCCCTCAGAAGAGCAGATCTTGGCAAGTTAGCTTCGTTTCCATATTGAATTCTATTCCTAAACAGGAATCTGTTTATTTGTGCATTGATTTTTTTGTGCATGGTACATTCTTCTCATATCAGAATGTATTTTTACTTCAGTGCTTACACATCTCTGTTTTTACAGAATAGCTAAGTTACGTTTTTAAATACAAAGCTCTAAAACAAGGGCAAGTAATTTTCCTGAAGTGCATTGAAACTGTTACACCCTCACCTTCTGTTTGTTGGGCTTGAGCATGGCTTTCCCCATCCCGGCATTCCCTTCTCCACTCGCTGCTTTTCTTGCTTTCTTGGGTAGCCCTGCAATTGCACAGTACTGCAGGTTCTTCTTAAACAGTAAATGCTGTTTAAGCCTGGGTCTTTTGGAAACTGATCTGAGTCTGAGCTGAAATATATCCTGTGCTGTTCCATGTAATAAATGATGAGAAATTAAAACAACAGAGGCAGATAATGATGGATTGCTGTTTGTTTGTCTGCTGTTGCAGGACTTCGGGTTGGTCGGCTTTTTCCGAGGTGGTGTGCCCCGTGCCCTCAGGCGGACTCTGATGGCAGCAATGGCATGGACGGTGTATGAACAGATGATGGAAAAAATGGGCTTGAAATCTTGACTGACTTGCACAAGAAGTGACCAGCTTCACTCCTCCTCCTGCTTGCTGTGATCAACTGGCACTGGGAAGTTCCTGGTTCCACAGAGGAATAAGCCTTGCTCAGCCAAGAGGAAGACAGCCCTTCTGAGACAGGGGAGATTCAGCCTTTTGGCAAGTAGAGGAAAGAAGGATTGTATCTTTGCGTCATTTGATCAATGCATTCTGGAAGGATTGCAGACTGCCAGGGGAAATGGCGGAGTTTCCACAGCTTGGTAACTGCGCTGAGAGAAAAGCCCCTTTTAAAAATAGCTCTGTGCTTACCACCTTTATGCAATGAGACATTGCTGAGCAAAAGTGTTTGAGGAGAGAACAGCGACTGCAGAAGCTGCCAGCTTGTTCCCTGCTGGTCTGGCCAGTAAGGCCTCAGTGACCCACTGTCTGTTGTAGATCCTCCTTCCACACATGCTTTGTTCTCACAGGGGAACATTGCAGACCACAGTGGGAGACTGAATATGTCTCTTAATGCTTATATCGCAGGAGTGGGTGGAAGAGAAAATAAGTGCTGATGGAAAGCTAGGAACATGGTCTCTGTCTACTGTGCAGGATAGCAGAGAAGGTAACTGGAACCTCCTTGCTGTGTTGTGTTATTATGTAATTGAGCATTTTAACACTCCTGAAACGTGCTTCTGCCCTACAGCAGCGTTTGCACAGGAATTAAGAAGCATAAGGCACTTTAGAGTTGATTGCTACCAAAGTTCTACTTGTTCTCTGAAAAAAAAACATTTTTCCTGCTGGTCTGACTCTTCAGGAACACTCAAGTTTTTTAGTATCGAGTTGTACTAGAGACTTATTTGCTTCCTAATATTCATTTGTTAATCCTGGATCAACACCCTTGGCGTGAGCTGGTGCTTAGCTTTTGGGGTCATTGCTCATAATGCGTAAATGTGTCATGGAAGCAGATATAGATACTGACACTTCAGAATTTCCTAAAAAGCTGCTGCTGATTGCATGTGGAGTGTCTTTGGGTTTGGTCTTTTCTGTAAGCTTTCTCCAAAGTTCGAGACCTATGAGTGTTTCATAGGGAACTTGAATTCTCTTTGGGCTCCACACGGACCCTTCACAGTTTCCCAGCTGATCATTTTCTCTTTGCAGGTAGTCCATGTTTCAGTACTCCTGAGTTTAGGCTTAGAGATAAATA